CGGGACAAAACTTGCCGTTTTCTTAACCACCTTATGCCTGCAACCCGTCCCGTCCGCCGAGGGGGTACGTTAAGTCTTGCACGCGGCGAGGGGATGATCGGTGTTTGACGAAAATCGATAACGAGAATATATATTTATAGGGTCGCTCATACACAACAAATGCACGTACACGCTCTCTCTCTATATATTTATGTATACTTATATATGCGCCCATACGTTATTACAATATATCAATATGACAATATAAATACGCACACATATGTAATGTATATATATATATACGCTAATACAAACACACACGTAAGACGCGTTGAATTTATTGAATATAATCCTAGCGCTTCGTTTTATATGCGTATTATATATATAAGTGTGTATGATAAGCTTTCGTACAATATGGCGTATTATATAGTATATTATATAATATTGCGAACTCGCGCGCGCGACTGAATTATTATTACCCTGTTATAATATTATTCTAGGGGTCGCGGTGTGATAAGACCACCGTCGCACATAAAAGTAAATGACACGAAAATCGTATATAAATATATATATATATATGTTTATGTATAGTCACCGCCGTGTATCCGACGAGTGGAAAAATTGACTTTTTCCCGCCGCCATTGTTCCCCCGACGACGACGTTTTATGTGTATACAGTATCCAAATGCAATTTCTTTATCAAATGACAAAACGACTGGAAAAATCATTTTCACCTCCCGCCGCCGACTCTACGATTTTTTCGCGCACATTAAACGTAAGCACGCGAGTAAATATGATTTCGCGCCCTATATAACATACACGGGAAGATTATATATATATGTATATACAAATATCGGGTGATGGGTGTAGCGGATCGCGGGTGTGCGCTCGTTCTCCCTACATCTCCAGCAGCAGTCGGTATCTATATGTGCGTTTTATTTTTATCCCACCCACCCACCCACCCACTCACCCACTATCCCGTTCCATTGTCCGCGAGATAAACGCAAATGCGAGTTGTCACGGGTTAACGCGGGTAACGTACGGTCCGCTGGCCGACAGGATATTGAGTTACATGCCGGTGTGCTGCTGCTGCATTCGTCAATTCCGGTGCGATGCATTCGAAAACGGGACATCGGCTCCCATGTATTATTATATATGTTTGTCCTGCACGCGCTCCAGACCGGTATTCTACGATAAATCTATAGGTATATATTATGCAATATTATGCATTTAATATACGTCGTCATAGAGTGTACTCGTACACATGGGGCTGCTGCAGTGCCGGTACAAGACGTTAAAATGTATTACAATATTATAATATACGACCGCGATCACTCTGTGTATAGACACACTATTGCCGTGTGTTTGTCTTTCATACAATTTTTTTTTTGTAAAAAACAAAGCCGACCGTCCTACACACATTCTATCTCCTAATCGGTTCGGACCCAATTTCCCCTTCGGATGCGCACCGCACGCTCACGTGATAATATACGCATTAGACACTATTATTATTATTATTATTATTATTGGTACGCCGTATACTATAGTTGTGGTATACAATATATTATGTTATACCTAAGTTATAACGCGTAGGTAATATTATTTTATGCGTCGTGCACATATCTATCGCTCGTGCAGTGCAGTGTAGAAAATTGTACGTATATTATTATATTAATAGGTATTATATTTTTATTGTTGAGAATGAGAGGCTCCGTACACAGATGGCCAGTAAACGACGACGACAGTGGTATTTTTATATTTTGTTTTTTTAATTATTATTCCGACACAATGATGTACCATATCACAACACACGTGTTGGATTTGTTCGTGTAGCTTTGTGAATAATTTTTGTGCTCTCATAGTGATATAGTATATCATATTTGTATACTTTTTTGACTCAGCAGATAATATTTTTAATCTTTTTTGAACATTTAGAATTTCAACATGACGAGTTAATAGTTTTTTTTTTCATACTGATTAACATGGTAAATAGCGAAAGGATAATTTACATATGATTGAAAATATCAGCAATGAATAATTTGGACATCATAATATACAATTGCTAACTTACTCGTCTTACCTTCAAATGCGATTCATAAATTTGAAATTAACTATATGAGGATTGCAGTGTAAATATCAGATAAATATGTATAATTTGAAATTAAAGATGTTGATAGCAATTTAATCAATAAAGAGAAAAACATAAAGAATAATACTGTTATTGTATTATTAAATAGTGATTCTCCCTAAATGCATTTTTCAAAAGCACATTTACCGACTGACATATTGACCTTTTTTTTTCTTTAAATTAATTCGCCTTGTGCAGTCATCACCACTAAAGTACACATGTTAATGTTGTGTTGTTTTACGCGTCCATATTAAAATATTAAATACCTACGAAACGTATAGTCATGTACCTACTCGTGTTTGGACGGGTGAGTTTAATATTATGCTGGGCAACTCGATCGAGTGGATCGCAAGCGTTCCGTTTGTGGGGTGGTTAAAAGCTCGTGCATAAGACATGACAAACGAGTTTACGATTTTTGACTTTAATGTTTTATAATTTTTATATTCCCCGTTTTGCTGTATACGGAAAGGGGTGCATACGTATTCGAACCGCTCGCTCTGTATATACATATTGTATAAATAAATTCGTGTTGTTCTCCTTATATTATACACACTTTATCGCTGTTAAAAGTCGTAAAAGAAAAAAAACAAAGACTCGTCGCATAATTTACGGTTAAGCGCCTCGATAATTGTATTTTCCAGTCGGAAATTAACGTCGTTTCTCTCAAATTATTCATGCCGATTCCGCGCGCACGTTAAAAGCTTTGCGCCCGAAAGAAAAGGTTAAAAGCTAAAATAAGAAATAATGTTGCAAGGGTTGTAGTTGTTGTTGTTATTTTTTTTTTTTATCGCGGGGAGCTGTTTCTTTTTATTTCTACGTATATACAACGTTAAAAGGGTAAAGGAATTGTTCGGCAAAAATTAGCTCTCTTAATACGATTTCGTGTCTGACGGCGGTAGAGCGGGCGGGAGGCGGAGTGTAAACCTCTTTCGCTTTTCGCAAGTCAAAACAGCGGCGCAGCGTGTAGTACCTATACATAATAATATAATATTATAAATTATTTGTTTGGGAAATCTGTTTTTAATATCCCGACGCGTTATTTTTCTTTGCAATATTCATTACTCTGGTATATTATAGACTGTAATTGTAGTATCCCTCCCACCACCGTCCGTTAAGCTAACGACAAAACTTCTGTTAAATGTGCTGTACAATATGCAAGAGATAATTTCTGTCGAAATATAGAGGGTTTATGATAATGGCGCGGGTCCGAGGCGGACGCCGACAACGTCAACGACATCGCCGCCTCCCCCGCCGAAAACGGATTACGTTTCCAAAGCCAAAAAACTCCGCCGCATGCACTATTTAAGGTCGTCCAATTACCGCGTGGGTCTCGGGAGACAGAGGTGGCTGTTTTAATTGTATTCTTTTGCGGAGAAATAATAATTATAAAGGAAATGCGAGAACGCTGCAACGTCTTGTTGAATTTTCCTCTTCGGTCCGTCTTCTCCTCGTCGTCGCCGCCGCCGTCCGTCCGTCCCTCTTGTTAGAAGTTTAAATGAAAATTATTTAAGAACCGGGAATATAAAAAGGAGACACTGTCTTTTCGTTTTCGATTAGCGCCATTTCTTGATTGGATTATTTTTCGCGTTAATGCACTTTTGCGGTTTTAAATGGAGGGAAATATACTTTAAACACCGACGCCACAACGTTTTTTTCCTTTATTTTTCCTTCTTGTCCGGATTGATTAGGGGGAAGTTTTCTTCACGAGTTTAAGGTGCTGCGCGCGATCCATGCGATCGATATACCAACACAACACATACACACACACACCACATCACACCACATGAATCTTTTCTCATTTGTCGGCGGAGGTGAGCAGTCGATGTCGACGACCGCGGGAGGGGCAAACCCAAACCCGATTTGTTGTCGAACACACAAACACCGATGGGATATTATACATAATATTCAAAATGAAAACGTTCAATATAGCCGATGGTCTTAATTAAAGAACCGGTGGTCCGTCATTGTTCGAATGTCTATTATTATTGTTATTTATTAATCTTCGATCTGTGTGCGCGGCACAGCCTTGCCCACAGAATACACCCATCGACCAATGATACGTGGCTGCGGTGGCTATACAATATATAATATAGCGAACATAAAAATATTTTTCCGTCGTTTAATTTGTGTGTACACGTTAAAAAAAATTATATTAAAAAAAAAAAAAAAAAATTACAGGAAACAACGAAATCGTCCGCCGCCGCCGTCGTTCGTTGTATAGTGCGCGCCCGCGGGGGCATTCGTATATATAATATAATAATATATAATATATATATAGGTATTAGGTATATAGATATTATTATACGAATAAAACAGTCCTTTTGTGTGTTCATTCGGACGATGCGGAGAGGATGCCTGACTTGTTTTCCGATTTCTTTGATGAAACCACCACCCGGGTGCGGTCGGTGGTGCGCGAAAAAAAATGTCTATACGTAATACGTAATAATATGTACACGTAATATAAATATATGTTATATATATAAAATATATTTTATTAAATATGATTTCGTTGTGTTTGTTGAGTCGAAAGAGACGGGAATGGTGGCCGTCGGGGTGCGCGGAGCAGTACTTATATATAATGTGTGTGTGTGTGTGTGTGTGTGTGTGTATACGGTAGGTACCGCGTATATGGTATAATATATTTTGTGTTTGTCCGGTTCGATTAACTGCACGCCAGCATATATAGTTGACCAGTGAACCACAAGGATCGGGATACGATTGTGTAATAATAAACGGAAACCTAATTTACGAGATGTAGGTACCTATACGCATTGTACTTACTGCACGAACGCACAGGCACATTTGTCTGCGTAATGTAAAAATAACCGACAAATATTATTTGTTCGTATCGATCATCATCATTATTTATTATCATTGTGTTTCTCGTGTTTCAGTCGTTTACCAAAAGCGTCTGCGCAGAGAGAGGAAAGCCAGGAAACGCGTACAGGATCAGCTGGAACAAGAGTTGAAGCGAAGGGCTCAGCTGGAAGAGATGATCAAAGCGGCCGGTGCACCAGCAGACGCACTCCGCGTACTAACAGGTGCGTACTCATAGGACATGGAGGTTTATTTTGACGAATGTTCAATCACAGGTATCATTGGTAAACCTTAACTTGGTACTGCCGACGCAATGTTGATACATATCAAATACGTTTTTCAGTTCAATTTTATAATATTCGTATGATTTCTACGACTTCTACGATTATCTTCAGAATAGGTATAAACAAAATATTTGAATACTTGATCCCATAATTAAGCGGTATCCTTTGCAGGGATAAATATAATATTCGCACATAATTTCTAGATCATTCAAACATACTTGTAAATTTGACATTACAGTAGTGTTTTAGAACACATTCTTTGATATCACTATATCAGCTATAACTCTGCATCGTCAGTAACAGCGTCTATTGTAATGAAGTTCATATTAATAATTCAGTGCTGTTTTTTTCCTCCAGAGAACAACAACGAAAAGCCGAGGGACAGGTCCGAACAGTCGCAGAGCCCGCAAAACTATTCGTCGGGACAAGTGCAACGGGGTTCGGAGACGTCCAACGACAAGCAATGGAACTATTCGGGATTGGACCTGATGAGCTCGTCTGGGGCTGCCGCATTCTGGCAAAACTATTCCGGTAAGAAAAATGCAAAGTTATATAATATTATTATTTAGTACATGATATTTATTTACGACGGTAGTAACTTGCACTGCGTGAAGCGTCCAAACGCGTGTAATAATATTATAATGTAGTGACCAGTGGCGGCGTAAACTCTTTTAGCTGTGTTCGAAGAGAATTTTTATATATTTAACACCAATGGCCACATTGCTATACGTTTAAGAGGCTCAGGCTACCATTGGACAAATACAATTAATCTGCTCATTATTATAAATGTATTTCAAATCTAATTATCAATAAAGACGATCAGAGTATTATACTATTATTACGAAATAATTTTTACATAGTTTTATAAAGTATAAAATATTTTGGCCTACCATCTAAATCTTCAAGCAAAATAAAATAATAGTATAATATTTAAAAAAAATATGTATATATATATACATTTAGGCATATATAGTTATTATACCCACAAGCTATTTTGCCCACGAACCGAATGCTTAAAAACCTGCTGCCGCCACTGATTGCATTCGTAATAATGTTTACGCCCGCTTGCATGCGTACCTGGTGCAGTGGCCCTCTATATACCCATATAAATATATATTTAAATAATACGAAACGTATACGGAGGAGTGTTATGTGTGTATAACGCCAATATGTTGCGACGCGCGGGAAAATTGTCTCTGGCGTAGAGCAAACATAAACAGTGATTAGTCGGAGATTTTCTTTTATTTTTAAATTCGCATCTCGCACTATATAGTTACGTATTCATGACTCCTGTGTGTGTGTGTGTGTGTGTGTGTGTGTGTGTGTGTGTGTGTGTGTGCTTGCGTGTTCCCCGGACGAGGGTGGTAGTTTGTTATACACGAATATAATACACCTATATATATATATATATACATGGAGACTCGAGCAGCGTATTATTCGAAACTGCCAGCGTTGTGCTAGTGTGTCGGTTTGTAATGAGAACTTCATACACTCGTGTGCGTATGACGTCCGCCCCGCGCCGCTGCTCAGAAATTCCATTTGCAATAAACACCGAGGTTAACCCTCAGCCGTGCAAACGTTATGTGCCGCCTCCGCAATTGACCCTTTACCACCCTCCGGCCCAGGAGCTTGCCCCGGAGTAGTATATGTACATAATAATAATAACATATAATATAGCTGCAGCGCGTATATTATTCCACGGGTCTTTTTATTTTTATTTATTTTCCGCCCCATCTCTCGACGTCTGCGGCGGCGGCGACGACGATGACGACAGTGACGACGACGACGACGACACCAGCACATCCGCACACCCGCACACCCACATATATATATATATATGTATGTACAGTGCGTTGTGTAAACCCTTTTGGTGCACTCGTAAAATCAAGCATTCACTGCGAATTAACCGAAAACTATGCATTTTTTAAACCGAACGGGACCTGACATCGTGCAGCACCGGGAAGTCGTGTGTACACATACACACTCGACACTGACGCTCGCAAACAATCGTTTTCCGGACGTGTAAAATGAAGGAGAAAAAAAAACGCAAATGTAAATAAAACAAGGGGTGGCGGCTAGTTGTGAGCGGCGCGTCGAGAGTAATAAAAAATACGACTAAAAATAATACGCCGACCCTACTAAAATATAAACGAAATCGTATACAGCGCGTAAAGCGTATAAAACTGCTCTCGTTTGCGATTACCCAGAAAATCGGTCCGCCGAGGATATTATTACTATTGCAACATGATAATATATTATTATTACTATAATTATTATTATAATACTATTCTAATATTTTGCTGTATTCGTCGTCATCGTATAGTCGTCGCCTGCGCCAACATATTTATAATAATATCATACTATACAGTCATCCGTATACCTAGGTATATAGGTACTTACACGCGGAGGAGGCGGTGCAGCGAAGCGCTACTATGTACATGTATAGTATGTAATGTGTATTTATTATTATTATTATAATATGTGTATACGGTTTTCAAAGACTTTCTGCGCTTGTTGTTTTTGCGTTTGTACTCGGAAAACGCCGCTGACACGAAATCCGCTTAAGTGGCAAAGGCGAATAAAAAGAAATAACGCCGAAGGGGCGGCGGGGCGGCGCGGAGAGAAGGACAAAAAAGATAATCTTTTTTTAAACACATCGTGACAAAAGGTCGCGGGAGAGAACGGCGGCGGTGGGGGAAAAAAAAGCTCACGTTATTTATTCAATTTCACGGTTGAGCCGTTTTGGCAAGAAGCGATTATTTTATTTTATTTTTTTTTTTTACATGATATCTCCGCGCCCCCTACCCCGCGGGCGTATATTTTTGTGCCGACTCTCCTCCGTCGATTTAATATTCCTCCGCCCCGGGCGTTATTACGGCAATTTTCTCGGCACCGAATTACAATTTAATTTCGTCTTGACACATGAACTGCTGCTGCTGCTGCTTCTGCTGCGTACAACGCGGTGTATGGGAAAACAAGATTTATACTGCTCTGTAGCCAGTGTACTTACACACAATACTCACAAAGCAGTTTCCTAATGAAAATGATATTGGAACGGCGTGGTAGAACGAGCATAAAAATCCAATTTCGAACACTGTTGAGTAGATGTAAATAATAATAATAATATGTGATGTCTTTTGTTTTTATATGTTTTCACTCTTCGCTAAAGGCGAATTTATAATATAATATTATATTTCGAGATTCGAGGCAACGCGATTTGCAGCTCGTAATCGTTATAGAGCCACATGAAATCCTAAACATTGTCGTTGAACCGTAAAATCCAAACCACCAACGACGTTATACGTTGTAATTTCAAAATCATAGTTTTGTCAAATCGTTTTTATAAGGGAACATATAGAGAATCGCTAGAATTCCTCGTCGTCGTACTCGTGCGACGGAACATAATAATATAATAGTAATATAATACGATTATATCAATAAAAAAACATACTTTGGGTGTATCAATCCTATAACCCTTCGGTATGTTATAGTTTCTTCGGAGAAACCTTCGATGGAAATATTAAATAAAAAAATAATGAAAAACCGAGCGTACCACAAAGTTTGTCCAAGTCTGTCGGGTAGTATATTCGAGAATGTACGCTGTTTTATTTTTTATATAGGTACACTTTGCTATGAATTTCGGAACTGGTATTCCGAGGTAAAAAAAAAAAAAAATAACTTCAAAATACTTTGATCCACGGCAGCAGCATATTATTATTATTGCAGTGTAATGTCACCGGTGACGGCCGCGGCTTCTGCCAACGATCGTAATAAATATTATTATATATATCTTGTAGACATATTGTGGTCGTGTGAAATCGGGTCTGAGCGATAACAATAATAATAGTAACAATAATATAATACGTATTACTCGCACATAAATAATATTACCTATGCCTTATACCTATACCGGTATTATAATAATAATAATAATAATAATAATATGTGTGTGTGCACAAACGCGCGTTTTCGGTATTCGGACGACGTTCGTTTTACAGTTACACGCGTTACGAATTTAAATCTGCTTCAGATTGCGTACAAATATAATAATAACAGCAACAACAACGAATAATGATAAAAATATATAACGCGACGGCGACTATAGGACGACGGAGACTTGGTGGACGACTATACGTCGTATCGATACAATTCTATACCACTGCAGTGTATAATAATAATAATAAAAACATATAAATGTTTGACGTGTGCTTGTGTGTTGTACATACCACAATCGACCGTATATTATAGGCACCGAACAGTATAGTCGAGGAAAATTGACGGAAATTCGACACGCAATATATTATTATCATAGTGAATTTTCCAGGTGGACAATCGTTACGGCCCCGACGATAACTCTAATAATAATAATAATATTATATCGATGTGTACATGTCGTCTGCTGATGGCAATCGTCGAGCGCATTGTCCACACACATCATACTCGTGTGCGTTATTGTCGAAAAACTCTCGTCAAACGAATCGTGCGCACGATATATACAATATTATTATTATTATTATTATTTTTGTATTGTAATCGATTTCGAATGTGTGTGTGTGTGTACCTCGCCGATGGGAAAAAACTATTAACCGGTCAATTGCGCCGGACAGTGTTGCAGTTCCCACACACTATATATCTTAACGCTCAGTGCTCCGGCGGCGGGGAAGGGGGGTAGAAGCGAGTCCATATATATATATACTTTATTATTATTATTTTATAGGTAGATATATAGATACATCATAATATATTTTACATAAACGGGCGCGTGGTTTTTCGACAGTATCGGGTATTTTATTTTTTTCGTTACGTTTTTACATTAACTTTGTTTTTATTTTTTTCGAAAAGCTCATTAAAGTATAATTGAATTAGTTATTGGACCGTGCGTTTTTAATTTGCGGCTTTAATTTTTTCCACGCACTCGGCAAACGCTGCTGCTGCTGCTGCAGATGTAGACACGCGTTGTATTTGCAATTTTTTTTGATTCGTTAACGCCCGGAAGAGTATATCGCTCGGATTTAAGCTGTCCGATGAACGCGAGTACGCGACGATTTATCATCATATACCTGGCGGAACACAAACCCCATTATTCGGTTGTTAAAAAAAATTGCGGGTCGGTCGTGTGTATAAACGATGTATAAAAAAATAACGAAAAAAAAGAAAAAAACAGAAACAAAAAGGGGTCATCTTTATTTGGCCGGTTAGATTATACTCGTCGGGTGGTGCTCCGTATATATATATATATTTGTATATTGTTTGTATAGACATATGTATATATAGTACTGCTAGTGCGAGTATACATTATGTATGTTTATGCTTGTTCTTGGTATACATAAACGTATAATATATATATATAATAAGTTGTAGGTATAGCGAAGTTGTTTTAAGTAAACTATTGCGCAGTGTGACGGTTACGGCGGGACGGGTGAAACAAGGCACAACTGTTATATTCTATTTTCAAATATATAATATAATATATGTACATGCGTAAAATATGTATATGTATGTACATTCCAAAATTGGAAACCGTTCGTTCGGGCGCGGGAAAAATGAAAGTAATTTTGAAAAAATATCCATCTTCGGAAACGTTTATTTTTTTTATTATTGGATATTCAAATGCACCCTTTTTCTCGTCGTGTGCGTCCCTGTTTTTCCTCTTTTCTCTATCGCCACCCACCTAACCTTCTCCCCTACCCGCCACCGACCCTGCGATCCACACTTTCGAGTGCCGCGTAACAAGTTTTATTTTCATTCAAATTCTCGTTGCCGCCGCGTTAAAACACACGGCGGCGGCGTGTTTGCCAAATGTCGGATTACGCGGTCGAACCCCTTATATTTTCGAGAGTGTGTTTTTCGCTGTCGTAGTCGGTTTTTTTTTTTTGTTCGTTTCATACGCATAACAATACACACGGATATCGCCTGACGCGCGCAAAATAATACGAATGCTGCGAATGGGAGTCAAAAACCGCGTATGTCTGTGTAATATGCAAATCTGCGGTTAATCGGGCGAAGTCACGACGGGTGAAAAAACGTATATATTGTACAGTGAGAGAAAGTGAGCTGAGGGTGCAGGGTGCAGGGACGCGAAACAGGTCGGGTATGACCTCTTGGATAGCTCCGTGGCAAAGTTGCGGCAGCGGGTATATACGTACGGGAAGACGGCAGTAAAATGTCGGGTTAAGGTGCCTCACCGTCTATATATAATATGGAAGAAAATAGAATACATAACCGCTATATATATAAATATATATAAGTATATACTAACCCTTTCGCTTATTATCTAAGCGGATTAACATCCGGCGGTACCGCTCGCGCGTATTTAATATTAATATGTATAGAAACGCGAGTATATAATATTGTGTATATACATAAGAGATACGAACGCGACGACGACCTTAGTCCGTCAAACTTTCTTAAAACAGCGCTGCACAAATATATATACATACATAATACTATACATGTGGTATGGCAGTGATCCATAATTAAAGCGAAAACTTGGGAGGATGTGCCCGCCGCGCTGCCCACTCGTAATATTACGACGTCCGTCCGTCCGGGGGATGGTTTTCTTTGTTTTCAAGTTTTCCGAAGCCAATACTATACCACCACCACCACTGCCGCCACTACAACCCCCACATCGCCACGCTTACATAAGACCAACGGCGAACCCTTTATTATTTACCCGCCTCCGCGCCGTTATAATAATATAATATATTATATATAGGTAAAATGATCCGGTTGACCGCGGTGGAAATAATAATAATAAGCACGATGATGTGTATCTCAGCACTGTCTTTCTATATATATATTTAAACATTTCGGGGCTCGCGCGCGTAATTACAAGTCAACGAAATAGGATTATACCGCCGTCGAGATATTAATTTTCCGGTTGTATACTCGTTCGGCGGTCGGTTTCTCTAATTTGACGAATGTTCGTGTGTGTAACCACCCTCTCTGCGCGCATTTATTAAGCTCAGATTACTATATTATATATAATATAATATGCACGCGTTAACGTTGATATCTACAGTGCCATACCTATAGCCCGTCATCGCTTGTATAGGTACCTATATAATGTACACTATTGTAATTAAGACGACCGTTATATTATATAATATGCACAGCGATCGGTGCTACAGTGTATAGAATCGTACAAGCAATAATAATTAGTGGCGCGCGGGCGATCGTCAGACGTCGAGTAAACGAGACGTTTTCCTCCCTCTCGGCGACGTCCCGCTAAAATAATATACGATATAATATTGTAGTTACCATTATTATTGTACCTATACTATTATAAGAGATGATATAGTGTTTTCACTGTACTTCGCGCGTGATTTCGGATGATTCGAGGCAATAATATAATTCACGACTATACACTATACCCGAGTCTCTCGAACAATTCCGCCCCGGGGTGGTTTTGATTGCGCGCTATGGTGTATATACATATGCATAATAGTATATACGCTGCATTGAAGAACTCGGCACAGCAAAAGGCAATAACAATAATAAACGCTCTATATATATGCTGCATGCACATATTATACGCTACACATACTATATATTTTATACACGGGTTAATGGGACCGTCGCAAGGACGGGGTGGAAAAAAAAGGCCTCCGGAGAGAGTGAGGGCGACGGGATCGCACGCCGAGGAAGATCCGATTTATGCGCGCGGCGAATATATTATAAACGTTTTCCGGGCAAATTCGCATTATGAAACGTATTATAAATGCATAGATGCGTTTTGCATAAGACGATACGCCCGGCGGCGCCTCTCTCCTTGCTCGTATATATATTGTGCATAAGCACTTCTCACGCCCCTCACCCCATAACCCCTCCCCACCCGATCACCCTTTTTGCCGCCGCCGACAATGACATTTGCCTCACGCGGCTATTCGATTAGCCAACAAAACAGCCCTCGCCGCCGCCGCACGCACACGCAGCAATAAAGGGAAAATATACATAATAATATATAGAACACAACGAGAATTTTTTACCATTTATTTTTATTATTATTATTATTATTCGCAGAAACGTTTGCGCAGGAGCTCGATCTGGAACGGAAAGCCAGGCAGCAACAGTCTGCCCAACAGAATCAACAGCAGAGCCAACACTCGGACAGAGACATCAAATCACCCGTTCCAGGTACGTTTTGAATATTTACTATATCGTCATTACAATATCTACGCTGATATTATTAATTTATGACGGGACGTTCGATGAGTCATCCGAGTGCAGTGTGCCCTTGTATATGATTACCTATATAAAAAAATATAATATAACTGCAGGGGTAAGCTGGATGGTGGAAAAATTCGAGTAAAACATTTTGCCAAAAAAATGTCCGTTTATTTCAAAAATGTATAATATCATATTCTTACCTATCGATTTTAAATAATCTCTCAGGTTTTTAATTGCCGGAAGTGTGCGGTGCAGGAGCAGCGAGCACCCTTATTGGTCATATATTCCTTTATATATATATGTATTTTACTGTATTATAGGTACAGTAATACTGTTGTTTTCTAATTTCGAAACTTTCCGTTTTCGTTTCACCCCCGCAGACCGCCCACTTTACCAGTTTTTCTTATGATATTATAATAATGAAAGTTGGATGACGACGACGACGACGATATCCGCCGTCACTTTAATAACGTTGGTACACGCGTCGACGGCGGCGTGTTGAATATCAATTTTCCACGACTGTCCCTTCACCCCCACACCCACCTCCACCCACCAGCACCGAAGACGGCGGGCGATGGCCACCCTTTCTGCGCCGTTCTCGTAAAACCGCGTGTATATTATATGTGTGTACAACTATACTGCAGTCGTGTGTCGAGCAACTATATAATATTTTGCTCGGAAAACAATCAATCATAAAGCTCCGGGGAAACGCCGCCGCCGCCGCGCGCGACCCCGGAGAAAGGCGAGTTTCCTTCTGTTTCCGACAGCAATCGAGTCGTACCATATTAAAATGTATATACACTCGCACGTACACACACGCACAGGTCTTGTTGTGTGGTGTGCGTGTGTGTGTGGGTGGGTTGGGTGAGTGGGTGGGTAATATCGTAGGAAATTTCCCTCGTACGCTCGCGTATAATAATAATATGTAATGCCGTCGCGTCGACGTCGATCCTAATTCGAAGTGAATACAACAACATAATAATATTACTGTGCGCATTAATATACGAATGGATTTGATATCGTTTTTTATTTTTTTTGTTTACAGACAACAGGGCTGCAAAATTTTTCAATAATTCCGTATTGTTCAGCACTGCAACATAATAGAATTGCGGAACGTAGTTAAAAAATTTTAAATAAAATTTGAATTGTACTTAATAAACAATATTAGTGAAGATTTTCTCGTTTTGTATCATATATATTATATTATTATTATACCTACATATATATAATAATATTATTATTACGTATGTCAGCATTTTTTTTTTTTTTTGTATGTATTTACGTATGTGACTTTATTATGGGCTTTTACGCGTGCAGTTTAAATGCATCGCATATAAATGTATGTATCATATATTATTATTATTATTATTATTATTATAGTAATATTAACTATTAAAATATTATTTAGATGTATCGTTATATAGTGTTTCGCGACGATCAACAAACGTATTGTGCGTATTGTATTTAGGTACCATTGCCGATACGAAAATAGTGTTTGTAATATCATGCGATCTCAAAAATCATGACATGAAAATGACATAGGTATTGTATTATATATTATTATTGTAATATTATATGTAATGAGTTGCACGAACTCCGAGGGAAAATTCGCCACTGACGAGGACCCGACGAGTCTGTACACGATTACTGTACATTATACGCAATGATGTATTGATATTATTTATTGATTTCATATTATTACGACTAAATACAATTTACCGACTGATTTTTAGAAAAAAAAAATAAAAAAAACATTGTAATTATAAATACTGTATAAATGTCTACGAATCAAGCGTGATGTGTCGTTTGGTAAATAAATTATATATAATATTAACTTTAATTAATGTGAATGTCTCGTGTCTCCCCACCCGGAAAAATGAAAAAGGAGAAAAAAATATTATTACATTATAACACGGTTATACGTCCAAAAATTGTATATATATATATAATATAATTATAAGTAGTTCCTTCTTTTGGCATCATATTTTTTTTTTCGACTTCTTTTGTTTAATTATCATAAAAACGAAACTTTCTCGTGACCATACGTCATGATAATACTGTGTATATTTATAATGTATTACGTACCGCCTAATTATTTGTATCGATATTTAAAGTTACAGTACTGTCAATATATAAAACATGATATACATTATAGTATTATGTATTGTACAATGCCGTGTGAGAGACACCCCACGCGTGGTTTTTGCATTTGTATAGAAGTATAATAATTTTAAATATATAATAGTATATATTATATTGTGTATCGGCGTAATTTTATTAATTTATTAATTACTTTTTATAATATTAAATAATTTATATACATATATTATATCATAATATTATGTGTATACATATTATTATAATATAATTAGTATTATTATTATTATTACGTGTATTACGGTTGTAGATAAAACCAAAGAGGAAAAAATTAAAACTTAAAAAAAAATCATATAATATACTAATAACGACTTAGCCAGTATAAATATAATAGATATATATATATACACAATAATGCAGTATATTATATATTATTATTATGTATTTCTTTTTTTCTGTAAATTATTATTATAAATATTATATACGATTACATAGTTCTATAATATCATTATATTATATTATCATCGACTAGGCTATATTATTTATTTAACTACAATTGATATAATATATCGCCCAATGTGTGTGTACATTTAAAAAAATATATAAAAATAAAAAAAACATTAATTAACAATAATTTCTACTTTTAAGCGAATATATTTATGTAATTTTAATGAAACTTGTTCGCCAAAATTCATTAAATGTGCACAATACGTATATGAAAAATGAGGTGTTTTTTCTTTGTTGTTCCTATAGCCACGGCTCCTATACCTATATAAATTCTCACAACAATGTTTACAATTTTAGTGCGTTCAGGTAAGTCTGCAGTCCGGTGCGACCGTCAACAGTTCATTTTAAACTGAATGAAAATAGAAGGGTTACACAAAAATATAAAAAATACAACATTTACAGTTTTTATTGATTAACAATTAGAAGCAGCAGGAGTATGCCAAAATATTTTTAAAAATTAAACGGTAATCCCCCTTAGAGCACTAGCTCTGGTAAGTACTAAGTACGACAGAGAGTGCACAAGTACCTACAGTCAGGCTACTTGTGAGTATAACAATAAGTCCTGTACACACGGCGAAGTAACCATAATGTTATTATTGTTACATTATAATGTGTTCAATATTATATAAATAATATACTATTTTAAACGCATATAATTATAATAATTAATAAAATGCTCGGCGGCATACCAGTCGGATATTATTATCAGAAATGGCCATCTCGACTGCACTGACGATGACGGTTGGTGCCATTATGTATTATTAAAAAATAAAATAAAAGCAATATTATTGGACATTACGTTACGGTAATTTTTTTTTTTTATTATTATTAAGTGTATTCCATTCTCCAAATAATAATTATTGATGGATAATAATATCCGGAGGCTTGAAATACATAGGCGCACACACAACACACACACACACACACACACACACACACACACACACACAAATACAATGTATACACACTTTATTGTATAATATACATAAACGCGTGTATGTATGTATGTGTTTCGAGTTTTTTATTATTATTTTTATTATCGTTATTATTACCTTTATCCAAATTATTATTATAATATTGTGTTCTGGCCGCAGTCGCGGAGAACAACATAAGGTAGGCAGAGACCTGCCGGGGCCAATAACTCGTTGTTTATTTTTTAAATAGACGACCGTCGCCCCACCACCGTTTTCGAGAACAAACCACACCTATACGTCATTTACTGCTATGTACGTCTCGCGGAGATAGAAAGACAAGCATTGAGAATAAAAATGATTTTTTTATCGATCGTTATTCATAGGTATGTTAACACGTAGGACAGTTCCATGCCAAAAATAAATAGTGAAATATTATACAGCTGTAATAACCTTATATATACACCCACCTGTTATAATAAAATAGCAATATTACTATAGCTGGTGCTCCTCTATATTAGTACATGTATACCTATTACCTTATTTTTTTTCTATCCCTCGCCCAAGAATTTGATTAGGAATTTCAACAATGCTTTATCTTCGACTCAGTAAATTTTTATTCAACGGACAAGATATTCGATCTATATACAATAGTAGTATTATGTAGGATAGACCTGTACATACCTGTATGTTTTTTCTCTAATAACGAATTTATTCAAATATTATTTAGATTTTTTAAATATATAATATAAAGACCATAATCTTTTCAAACTCTTGAGATTTTAAAGTGCTACTTAAGGAGTGATGTCCTGTGACAATGCAAATTTCTGTTTTTCAAACGACCCCCGCATTATTTTACTGCAAATTGTTTAGTGAATAATTTTTTTCTAAATTTTGATGTGCCTACTTCGAAGTTCAAACTAGGAATCTCTCAGTGATTAAAATGTTTATATTAAACTAGTTTTTTGTTCATTGTGAGTTTGGACTTTATAATTTGGCGTAATAGATGAAGTCTAGTGTTAAGAAATTTCTTTTAGTTCTTAGTTGTGTACCTCAAGTTAGTCGCTTGTCTTATATTATACATAAATATTTTTTTGAGCTGTAGTTGGGATTTAGTTATTTTCAAAATAGATTGCTGGTAGGACACCTTTTCTTAGATGTGAAAGAACTTATCTGAATTGATTTTGATATTCCACTTTTAGTATTTTGAAATATTATCAAGATGAATTTGGAGGTTTTGATATGCTCTTGTGGTGTCGGAATATATTGAGAAAATAGCAGTGTCATTAGCGTAGGTAGCTATCAGGGTATTTTGGGAGTTGGGGATGTCAGCTGTGTAAATACTAAATATTGTAGAAGTCTGGTGATAAATCACTTATTTGATGTACTCTTGTTTGGATTTGAAATTGTGATGAGAGGTAACCTCCTTGACGAACGATGTATGAAAGATTTTGCAGATACGATTTGGTCAATAAGTAGAGTGGAGGTGGAAGGAACTTTTTTTAATTTAAAGAGTTTGTCTGTGTGCCATACCTGGCACAGGTTGTAATACGTGTAAGCATACTCTCTGGCAAAGTCTTTGTACTCAAACGACGAAGCTATTTTGTCGACAATTCAGTGGATTTGGTAAGTTGAAGAGTGGTTTTTTCTGAATCCAAGTTAAGCATTTAGGGTAATTTTTTGGGAGTGGATCTGATCCGTTTTAGCATCGATTTTTCAAATAAATTCCCTAAATACTGGTAAAAGACATATTGGTTTCAAAATTTGGTACAAAATATCAATTTCAAGTATATTTAAAAATTCCAAAAATAAGGTTTTGAATAACTGTATAATTAAAGAAAAAAAAGAGGGTGTTATCGTTTTGCAAATCACTGTGTCAAATCACATACATATATCACATATGTGTATTGTTTCCCTACCCCCCATATAAAATGTGTTGAATACATATTGTCACGATAATAAGTTCATATCGTATCTATTTCTGTAATACACTTTCTTAAATACAATGATATACCTAATGATATGAATTTGTATCATATTAGGTAAATATTATACAGCATGGCGACTACGGAGTGGGTTCAATGTCAAATAATACATAATCATATTTGTCGGACCTATCCGAAACGTACATAATATAGCGACGAGGATAATATTATACTCGCCGCTCCTCTTCCGTCCGTTGAACATAAATATTTAAGTCTCGCCATGCATTTCTAATCAATCAATATTTTACATATATAGATACCGTCCGAGTCGGAGTCGTCGTCGCCGTCGTCGTCGTCGTCGTTTCCTTGGTTTTTTTATTATAATATACGCGTTTTACATATTATACACACACACATACACAGACACACACATAAATATATTAAATATATGTATATATTATTATATTGTATATATTGTACACGACGACCGCTCGCAGGTGGTGGCGACGGCGGCGGGGGGATAATTATACGTTTTGGTTTTTTAAATGGGAAAAAAATGGTTCGGCGTGGACTTCTCTCTACGTATAATACGCGCACACACACACATACACACATACACACACACTTGATTGGGTATATAGGTACCGCGATATTATTATTA